AATAGTAATAATAATAACAATAATCCAAATTATTCATAAACAAACGGGGCGTTACACCATCCCTCGGCCACATAGCAAATAACTCGACCAATTCTGAACCTAACTGACTTAACATGAATTACTTATCAAGCATGACCTGAAGATACAACGAGCACATAATGAACATGAAAGGCCGCGGCGAACGCCCGAGCGCCGCCGACGGCTATGTGCCGCCTCTCGGCCGAACTTACTTTATTCACCGACAACTACAGAATCACTCAACATGATTATTATACTGAAACAATTTAAGGACTAATCACACGGACAAACATGATTAGAATTGAAGGCAACAGCCCTCGGCCCGAAGCCACCCGAGGCCACGCGCGATAGGCGCGGGCGTCGGCTGGGGCCATTTCAGTGACTATACTTCATCTATACTCAACGAGCTGATCATACTCCACATAAAATCGACTAAACTGAACATTTAAATGATCATGGTTCGAGAGTTGCCGGAAGAAAATGAAACTTGTTCGGCGATCATCTTACTTAGGCATATTCGACTTAGGCACGGTTTAATCTAAAATTCTCGACCATTAATCCAACACTTAACCTAGAAATAACTTAATTATCATGAACATGAGCTGAAGAAGAAAGTACCTCTCCGATCGGTCGACGGAAATCGGAAAATAGGCGTGGCTTCTTCCTCGCGTGTACTCCGTGCGGTGGTTCTCCTTTTTGCCGTGCAATTGTTAGAATATATTGAGGGATTTGAAGGCTTAATTTACTAAGTTCTAAGGGCTGCTGAAAGAGAGAATAAGTGCTGAATTTGTCTTGAGAAAGGTGGCCAAAATCGTCCCCAACTATGCCTTTTATATTAAGGCCGTAGGGGAGATGATGAAGTAGGCAAGGCGTGGCCATCCAAGGTAGTGACACTTGCTAATTTCTCAAATTAGGCTTGATGACTAATCTCTTCTCAAGGCATATTATACTGCCACGTACATACTTAAAAGAATGAAGAAAATTTTGGTTTCCTTATGAGGAAGGAACTCACGGCCTTAGTAAAAATTTAGGGAAAATGGCTCTTTAAGGTACGGCTTTTAAGCTTAGGTTAGGAAATTTCCCATGCTTAACTCTTATTAACGTGATTAATTATCAATTAATCACTAACTTTTATGTTTAATCCTTAATTAAACATAATGCCTAATTACCAAAATTATTTCGGACGTAAACGGTACGTCGAAAATAGATTTCGGTAATCCCGACTGAACTTAATTAATTCCGTAAATAATAAACGATAACATTATTATATCGGAACAAAAACGTAATTTATACCGATAAAATATCGGGATATTACAATCCTCCCTCCTTACAAAATTTCCGTCCTCGGAAATTCAAAACATGACTACTATGCATGAACTATGTACATAGGATAAAGAATATGTACATCAAAACTGGAAATCTAGAAAACGAGCGCGAATGTCGGACTCTTCCTCCCAGGTAGCTCCGTGGCGATCCCACTGAATGCGCACGAGGGGGATATCTCGCTTCCGGAGCCGACGGACCTGACGGTCTAGTACAGCTACCGGTCGCTCCTCGTACGACAAATCTGGCTGAACCTGAATATCCGTGTGACGGATGACATGATCGGGGTCGCACACGTACTTACGCAACATAGATGCGTGAAACACATTATGAATGCCTGATAACTCGGGAGGTAGGGCAAGACGATACGCGACCTCGCCTACTCGCTCGAGAACCTCGAACAGACCGATGAAACGAGGGTGTAACTTCCCTCTCTTGCCAAATCGCACAACTCCGCGAACCGGACGAACTCTGAGAAAGGCGTGCTCGCCAACCTCAAACTCAATGTCTCGTCGATGATGATCGGCGGAAGATTTCTATCGACTCTGAGCTGTCTTAAGTCTCTGCCGGATCAACTCGACCTGCTCTGCTGTCTCCTCGATCATCTTAGGACCGAGTACTCGCTGCTCTCCAACGTCGTCCCAATAGAGAGGGGAACGACACTTGCGA